TGGGGGACTTCTTTGGCTCCGCCCACGCGACCCAGCCAATCGGCCTCAAGAGCAGGAGGATTGTGGGAGGTGGTGTGGTTTGTGTGGGGAGAGGCTTCTGGAAGCCGGTGGTGGCAGTTGGGCTCTGAGGGTTTTCCTGAGGAGCTGTTTTGTTTGGCGTTTGTAGTTTTAAAAATAAAGTTTGTTTCTTTTGATAAGTGGCTCCTGAATTGTGCCCAGTCAGACTGCGGCAATTCCCTATATGAAAATCACTGTATTGTTGAATAATTTGGTCAAACTCTCCTACAAAGCATTCAGTCCATTCACTTTCACAGAGTTTGGACAGTGCAGAAAACCTACACTTCCTCTAATAATAGTAAAAACGTCTGTCCAGTTTATAATAGTGAAGGTAGAATTGTTAATATTACAAACCAACAGTAATGTAGTTCTCCTCTTTCACAGCAATAATAATGGAGAGCGAGCCTGTGAAAGTAAAGAGCATCTTCACTGTGGAGAAATCTTTAGCCATATTCTAAATCCTGATGTGAACCAAAGCTTTAATGGAGTTAAGCCATATGACTGCAGTGTGCCTGGAGTAGTCTTCATGTGTCTTTCATCCCTTAATAGATATATGGTTCATGATACCAGATACAAACTGTATGAGACTCAGGAATATGGGGGAAAACAGTATCATTGTAAGCTATATGAGAAAGCATTTACTGATCACTACTCCTTTCAAATATATGAAAGGACTCAAATTGCAGAGAAGCTGTATGATTGTAAGGAATGTGGGAAATCATTTGCTTCTCATAAAAGTCAAAGAAGACACATGATATTGCACACTGGAGATGGACCTAACAAATGCAAATTTTGTGGGAAAGCCTTTTACTATCATAGGTCAGCTCTGAGTCATGAAAGGACTAACACTGGAGAGAAACCCTATGAATGTAAGCACTGCTGTGGGAAAGCATTCAATTCCCATGGAAAGGTTGGAAGAGACATGTTAGAACATACTGGAGATGGACCGTATAAATGTAAATATTGTGGGAAAGCTTTTAAATTTTCCAAATCAGTTCTGAATCATGAAAGGATTCATATGAGAGAAAAACCTTATCAGTGTAAGGAATGTGGGAAATCCTTCAGAAGTTGTAGTTCTTTTCAAGTCCATGAAAGGATTCACACTGGAGAGAAACCATATAAATGTAAACAATGTGGGAAGGCTTTCAGAGATGTGAGATATGTACGAGTGCATGAAAGGATTCACACTGGAGAGAAACCTTATGAGTGTAAGGAATGTGGAAAAGGCTTCAGAACTTCTAGTTCTTTTCATATCCATGAATGGATTCACACTGGAAAGAAACCCTATGAATGTAAG